TGAAAGATGCAAGTTGTTGCTTTGACGCATTTTGTGACAACACACTTCATAAAAGAGACTTCAAGTTAATAAAATGAAGTTAAAATTTCTCGCTCTATAAACGTATAGAGCGATTTGTACATTAAGTTTTTTAGTTCTTGATAAACTACCAAACCGGGTTATAAAGCTACCTGTAAATGCCAATAATGAATCAGTCATGGAGGAGAAAATTGCACAAAATGCTCTATACGATTCTTGGAAAGAATGCTTTCTCTTTAGAAATAATCTTACTAACCGGAATAGGTAGGTGCTGATCCTTAAAAATGAGTCAGAACAAAACTATAAGTGATGGCCATCTACTACTATAGACTTAATCACTTAATTAGAATTAGAAATAAAACGGTATTTAAAAGTTCACCCGCCCCCTTAACACAAACGCGGATGGTGAGTGTAGTAGTAATGCGCTCACGTGACCAGTCTCCAATCCCTCTAACAGTCGTATATCTATGGTACAGCTATCGTGACAGTGATACTGTTATTCTAACTATCACGATAGTTATCACATGTGCATGGAGCATGCGCATAAATGACACTTTACAGCTGTAATCATCTTCTAAGTTCTAATCAATTCAATAGCAACTTCCACTCATGAGTGGTATGACTTGCTAGCACAGCTTGCTTCAAGGTTTTCATTGTCCCTGCTACATTAGCAGCATGTGAAGTGGGACAGTGCTTCTCGTTGAAAATTTGGATTAAATAAATTTAAATTAACTAGTATTATTATGCATGTATAATGTGATTATACAAATTAATAGATGTATTAGTTAGGTACAATGACTACATCCTTAAATAAATCATTGTATTTCCACATGTAAACCCCGGCTATGGCTGAACTATCATGATATGTTCACTATCGTGATATTAGAGTTAGAAAATATCATGACAGTGATATTACTACTATCGCCCAGGCCTACTGTATAGCCAAAAATTTTCGAGGCTTAAAATTTCGTGAATAATGAAATTTATAGAGAAATTTTAAATTTCGTGATAAATATTTTCGTGATTTTATTTTAATAATAATAAGGACCACGCCTTATTTACTTAAAACATGGCAGATTCAATGTTTGAGACGGACTCTTGTGTCAAGGGTGCGGCACCATGTCTTCAAATCAGTGTGGACACCAGAGATGGGGAAGATCATCATCTTTGACCTAGGCAGTATTACCAGTATTATTTCTATTAGTGTCATATACATCAAGGTTGCATTTTGTAACAGTCATGAGTTTATTATATTCTAAAAAAAATCAATAATGAAGTGTATACCTGATTTCTATTATGGCAATTAACAAAAATGACTTTTTCAAAATATCAGTCTTTTTAGTCTTATTTATTTTACATGTATGATATGATAAAATTATCTAAATCACTTGCTTTATGAGGTATTATGTTTATATTTCTTGCATTTAGCATTGGGAGAGCATTGAAAAAGAATCAATATCTGGTGAGGGACTCTGGCCTAATGAGAGAGACAGTCATGCTGGTGTTATTATTAATGGTGACACTACCTCACCTGCACTAGTAGTGATTGGTGGAACGGATAAGTACAATCAACTAATGACTGAATGTTTATTATTTGATAATCTCACTACTGGTCAGTTCAATTGTAAGAAGGTATGTGTGCACGGTACATGTATGTTGTTTATAAATATTGAGAATTTGAGGAGCCTCATGACACTAGATTTAATTAATACTGTACATGTGTAAAGTATCAGTATTATTTCTCATTGTCTATAGATTCCTCTACCTGAATCTGTTACTGGTAGATACTATCACTCACTCACAGCAGTCACAATGTCACCTCACTGTGTGTGGCTAGTAATTGTTGGAGGATATGAAGAGTTTGAATGGAAAGATGTTGGAGGAGGAATGAAGCAGCCGACACATACATATATCACTGATACTAACAGACTAGTAATGATAATTGAATTAGGTAAATTAATAATAATTATTAAAAATTATAATCAGGATTATTACCAGTTCATTATTATCATACCTACATGCACTTGATTTATTTATTAATTCCTTATTTCAGTATATAGTGAAGCTGGTGAGTGGATAGTACAGTCAGTACTGGATGGTAATGATCTCACTAGTAAGAAATATCAAGAAAAGTATTCATCATACAGCAAGATCAAAACATGGTGGATGGATCAGCTAATAGAATATTTCACAGAGAAGGAAATGAAGCTTCAGAGATGCATCCAGTCTTTACATCAAGAACTACAAGTGGCTCATCAGAACAAAGTATCACTACAGGAGGCACTGACTGAGGCCAATAAACAAGGTACATGCATGACATGTACATACGTGCATAACTATACACAGAAATTTGAAATAAAGAATTTAGAAAAATGCTTTGAAATTGAGTTTGGCCATTAAAATTTCAACTATTTGCACTACCAAGATCACTTTTATGCAGTAGTAAAAAAATTAAATGACATACTTTATATACCAATTTGAGCTACATCAAGACTCTTGGCTACATATGGTATACTTAACTAAATTTATACTTGCATATTACTAGGCAAATGTAGATCATTGAAAGGGCGAGCACAAGCTAGCATGGCAATACACAATGTTTAGATGTCACTAAGGCTAATGTTGTTGTTAAATTGTAAACATGATGATACACATGCAGAGCAGTGCAGAACTTGTGACTAGCATGGAAGGAAATTTTATAGCTTGTGCTTCTAGCTTTATTAACAATGAAGAATCTCAGTTGTAATTTTAATAAGTATAATTTAATTTTAACTATATAGTTAAGCACAGTACTTTTAGACTTTCTTTTCTCTGATGCCGAGCCATTTAAAGTGCTTTTATAATTATGTCATTCAACCATAATTAATAAAAGCTTGAAGATTTTATATCTATTTTCTTAATTCTCTCTGCTGGTGAAGTCTTGCCAATAGATCAGTTTTATGTTGCTGCAAGATTGGCTAAGGTAGGCACCATTTTATTTCATTGCAACCACACCCACATAAATGAAAATATTTCTACCGCATTAAATCATTGTTAATAAATAGATAGTAGTGCACACATGGGTGTCACCAGAATAGGTGTGACTGGAGACGCACGTACACAGGGAGTGGAGTGAGTGAGTGAATGAGGGAGCTCTCACCTGAGTGGGGCTCGCTTATGCTCACCCCAACTAAAATTATGATTTTAAAAATCTTTTTAGCTAAAATTGAAAATAAACAGTTACAAGAAGAGAAACTGATTATTACTCGTTAGTGTATCATCAGTACATTATATTAGATGAGTCTATTAATGTAGAAGATTATGAGAAACTGAAAACTAAAGTTGCTGATTATGAAATATATATAACTGAAATAGAAGAAGAGAAGAGACAACTAGAGGAACAATATCTCATTGACAAACTGATCACTAAAGGTAGAGTATTATTGTCATCAAAGTGTACTCAAGAGAGAATATGTTTTAGAACTTAAAACTAAAGTTGTTATTAATGAAGTATATATAACTCAATTAGATGAGGAGAAGGAAAAAGTGGAGAAACAATATCTCAAGGAAAAACAGATCACTAAAGGTTAGAGTATTGTCATCAATGTGTATATTATATGAGAGAATATTTAGAACTGAAAACTAAAGTTGCAGATAATGAATTGCATACTGCCAAACTAATGAAGGAGAGG